CGCTACGCCCCCCGCGACGTTCAGTCGGGCCGCGCCTCTGCGGGGGCCCCTCTCTTCAAAGAGGCCGCGTAAGGCGACGCACGCCATCGCTATGCGCCGATAACGGAGCCCCACCGACGCTCCTTCGGTCGTTACCGGTCATTAGATAGAATGACTGGGGCGGAAAGACGGATTTTTGCGTGATGTTCCGGTCGTGTATGACCCACTTTAGGCTATTTACTGGTCAGTAAATACTTCTAATAATACTGATTTTATTTAGGTTCGTTGGAAGTCTCTTAGGAGCTAATGTAGATAGGTACATGTTTAAATGTTTAAAGATAATGTTATCTCCAGGTGTACTTTTTTAAAATATGTTTTACTTTGTAGCACAAGATTTAACAGTCGCTGTCTATTTTGACATTATTACACAGCAGCTAATAGAGCGGATAGCAGAATAATAATTTGGCGTGAGACTATGGCTAAATCAAGACATTCCAAGCAGACAAAATTAAAACAAAAATAAAAAGATAATAAGAATCGCCCACTGAAATCTCATTTGTGCAACTTCGAGTCGAATGGATAGTCAGTTACCGGTAACGGCTATACAGGGTGTACAAATTCGGGGTACGAGTATTGGTATCTCGGTAACCGTAATAGATACAAACATGGTTAAATTGGGGCAAGTTGCGCTTTGGGATGTTCACAAGATGCCATCAAAAAGGTTTTAAAAATTTCAAGGAATGCTGAGTTTTTTGAAAAAAAAAACGGATTTTTTTTGAAAATCAGTTCTATTTTTTCCTGTCGTTACTTTTTAGAAAATCAAAAAATAAATTGCACATTCTCATAGCCACTTTATTAGGGCTATCTGATAGGATTTTTAGATTTTCAAATTAGCTGATAATTTGTGAGATACAGAGGCCGACTTAATTTTTTTAAATGCAAACCTGCAGTTTTTATTTCAGTTTTTGAAAGAACTCGGTCTCCCCAGTACAATGATATGCCACACTCGAGGCCACACTTTATACTTTTTTTTTGTTTCGGACATTTGAACACAATTTATTTAAACTAATTTTAAGTTTGCCTCAGTTTTTTTTAATATTTAATCTACTATTCATCGTTACAATATTGATAAGCTTTCAAACTTAACAATGACGTTGAAATAACAAACATTGAATACCGAAAATCAAATACAATGAAAATAAAAAAATAATATAAAATAAATGATGAATATAGTATTATAATATAAACAATCAAAATCATTTCCCCGGAAGATGGATTGAAAATGGTAGAGCAGTATAATGGCCAGCGAGGTTTCTGGACCAGCGATGTTTCAAAACCAACCAAATCAATATTTTTCAACATTTACCATAAAGAGTACAAAATGTATTCGGAAGTATAAAAAGAAGATATGTTCAAAGAGCTATAAATAAAACTGAAAGAAAAATAAATTTGTGCAATAGGGAGGGTGGCAACCCTTTCGAACATGTATCATTTTTGATGGGATATATTTGTTACGGTTACGATATATGTATGTGTATTTTAGTTTATTTTTCTTACTCTTTAAATAATTTATCAATAAATGGTCCTGACAAAAGGGGAGTTGTTTCTGTCTATATTGCTTTATAACATAAAAAATACCATAACTGTATGCCAGATCGCAGGTTAACTGTTGTGTTCCATTTCAGCATGTTAGCTGTTAAAGGTTTAACTTCTGTCCCAGGACTTTATTTTTTTGCTTCTTTCTTCTGTTGCTTACAACTCCACCGCACACTATCTGCAAAATCTGAAAATTAGCAGCGGCGGACTTGCAGACCGTTGAATAAATAAATGAAATCGCAAAAATTAATACGTTTATTCTGATAAGCGTAAACGCTTAATTAAGACACGATGTGCGTCCCAGATCCGCACATTATTGCATTACTCTCCGTTTTCTGAGAAGTGCATAAGCAGCACATGGCACAGATAAGGGATAAATATGACCGGAATGACAACTATTTTTTAATCTCGATTTTGTTGTGTTTGTTATTACTTACGTTTTGTGCCGGCGCATGTAATTCCGCTCGTCCCACAACCAAACAATTTCCTTTTTATAAACATTGTTTACTCATTGCAGTGGAATTTTGTATTGATATAATCTCCATCACCTGATTTTACATGTTTTTGATTGTCGAAATAATCCACTAAAATTGTATCGCCGTATAGAGAGTGAAAAAAAATTACGGGCAAGCTGATTTTTTCAGACTTTGTCAGCGACTGTCTTCTGAGTGTAAAATTGACAAAATCGGAAATCTTCCCCTTGCAGTTTATGAGCAATAGGGGTGGTTTATTTAAAACTGTACTACAACAAAATAATTAAACGCAAATTGTAATATATAAGAACATTCTCTATAAGTTCGCCTAATGAATTTTTTTTTATAAGTTTATTATTTCCGGACTTAGCGGCCGTTTCATGAGCCCTTTGGGGTGGTTTTGAAAAAGTTTGTTTTACAGCAAATTGATCCGTATGAAAGTTGTTCATAATAAATGGACAAGCAACTTTTCCTCATGAATTTTTTTTTGTAGCTTGATTATTTTTGGAGATAGCGTTCAGTTCATGAACAAATTAGGGTAGTTTTCAATGTTACTCTTTTTTCAGCAAATTCACCCTAGGAAACTCGTTCAAAATATCAATTCTCCTACAATTTGCGATTCTGACGACGACGACTTTACTTCATAGGAAGCAACAAAAGAAACCAACAATAAATCTGAGGATCCATGACATAAAAGAAGACGATACAACTAAACAAAAATCATAATATTCATTCACTTGATGAATTCCATGTTTCGTTTTGGGGAAATAAATACATATCATAGGGAAGTGTGCATATAATTTTAATATGAACACCTTTAAGTTGGTAAATTTCTAGAACTAAACAAAAATTATGAAACTACCCCAATTTGTTCATGAACTGGACGCTATCTCCAAAAATAATGAAGCTACAAAACAAATCATGAGGAAAAGCTTGTTCATTTATTATGAACAACTTTCATACGGGTCAATTTGCTGTAAAACAAACTTTTTTAAAAGCACCCCAAAGGGCTCCATGAAACGGCCACTAAGTCCGGAAATAATAAACTTATAAAAAAAAGTTCATTAGGCGAACTTATAGAGAATGTTCTTATGTACAATTTGCGTCTAATTATTTTGTTGTAGTACAGTTTTAAAAAAACCACCCCTATTGCTCGAAAACCGCAAGGGAAACATTTCCGATTTTGTTAATTTTACACTCAGAAGACAGTCGCTGACAAACTCTGAAAAAATCAGCTTGCCCGTATTTTTTTTTTCAAATGACAATTTTATTGGATTAAAATAAATAATATAATAATTTTTCGATATAAATTTGTCTCCAAATTTGTTTATCGAAACATTAGCTTGGTAAAAACGTTTGATTTTAGGATGAAGTCACCTATACAGAACCGGCTACTAAATTGTCTGTTTAATGTCTAGCTCATAATTGCAATGGCGGAGACACCTTGTAGTATATCGTATTTAGTTAGGGCAATAAGACGTCCAGTAATACATAAGACTTTACAAGTAGTGCAAGTAAAGTAGGAAAAAAAAAACATATCATAGATTCTTTGTTCTGTGCTCTAATTATTTTGAGATATTTCAATGCATACCACAAGGTTATAGGGTAATATCATTTTAAGAAGTAAGGTGATATTTACCATGTGGTAAGTAAGGTTTTCAAAAAAACCGCTAAATAATTTATATTGTTATTTTCAATGATGCCGAAACAGTAACTCTCTATATTGTTACTCAATTTGTACCAGTGTGATTTACGAAAGTACTAGTATTTAGGACAGTATAGATGTAATGCCGGGTCCAGACCAAGGTGACAAAGAGTAAACACGATTTTGAGACAAAATACAAGACAAACTTGCGACAAAAAATGGGGAATTCTGACAAGAGAAACTTGAGACAAATTGTCCACACCGCAAGGACAAAAGTACAACAAAGTCAAAAATTTAGTTGTTGCGAATGAGTTTTATTAACCATGTGTGATTTCACTGGTCTCCTACTAGTGGCAGCACACGCCATCCACACTGCGCTGACAACTTGTAAAATATACGAACAAAATATAGACGCTTTGATCTTTACCGACTCGAGACGGGACATTGAAAAGTCTCCGAATTTTGAAACAAAAGAAAAATGAGACAAAAATGTCGCAGAAATGTATTGGATTTGTCGCAATTTTGTCGTAAAACATGAATGTTTCTGTCTTGTCGTTGTTTTGTCTGCTTGGTCTGGACCCGGTATGAGAAATGCTACATATGGACTTTGGAGTTGTTGCATTTGGTTTGTAGACAGACTTTGCATTTGGTTTTTAGAAGAATTTTTTACACATATGGTGATTTGGGATTTACTCTATATTGTTATATGTTTTGTGTCTTTGTGTATAAAAAAAAATCATAAAAAATAGAAAAATATATTTTTAATTTATTCCGGAAACGGAAAATCAGAGTCAAAAATTGAATTAAAAAAAAGATCGATTCTTACTGAGATGAATTTTTTAGTTTACGATTTTTCTTGTATCGATTCGCGATTATTCGATCTAGATTGATCCAAAAAATCGATTCTTTTTACAGAATCGCACATCTCTAAACGGTGTACTCGTTCTGTCAATCTTCGCATTCGGATTGTCGTCGGACGAAATCATCCGGATCCGCGTCTATGTGACAATATTCATATAAACTTATGGTATTTGCTCAACCAACGAAGGGTCCGCGCAGACGATCCGCTCGATGTGAAACAGTACTAACGTGCATGCAAACTTTCTCTAAGGCCAATAGTATGACCCAGCGCCTAGCTCTCTGAAAATTAATTATAAATATATTTTTAAGATGTCGTCATTTTGTTAATTAGCTTTAGTGATGTCAACTGCAAGAAAAGAACATTTTTAAATCTGACACACTATAGTTTATACATTTTTATCAAATGCAAGTATGACCTTTGATTTTATATACTTTTTTTGTTTCAGGGTACTCAGCGAAAACGACAAAAAACCATTCATCGAGGAAGCCGAACGACTTCGTGTGATCCACAAGAGGGAACATCCAGATTATAAGTACCAACCAAGACGCCGAAAACCAAGTAAAGCTTCCGAATCCAGCCACCAGATGTCCCACGGCCAAAGCACCTCTTTCTCCAGATCGCTCAAACAAGAAGATTCGCCTTGTAGCCCGAGAAGTCACAGCTCTACCAGTCCATCAACTTGTTCATCCCAACCAAACAGCCCCCAGATAACTTCGCATCAGCTACTGAAACCTTGCGATCCTCATGGTATCGACATCGATAACTACCATCGCATAACAGATTTGGTCGATGGCGGTTATGCCATTTATGGTAACGATGATGGTTTGGATAGTAGTGATCTGGACCAATATTTGCCCTCGGAAGTGCCTTACAATTTTGCCGGATATCATAAAAATAATTCTCATGAAGAAGAGAGCAATAACAACTACAAATCTAAGAGACCTTGCGTGGAAAACGTTCTAGCTTCATCGGAAGTGTTTGAGGAGCCATATTACAGTAGGTATCATGAACTTCAACCTACGTCAGTAATAAAAAACGAGAGATATGATCATACGAATGCTTCTGGTTCTTACACGCATCAGTCTTGCATTTCTGCTACACCGTATTATGCGGGGAACAGTCAGTATGTATCCACATATCCTTCTTATCAGTATATGCAACAGAGACCAAATTTCACTAGTAGTACTGCTGTTGGTAACTTCAGTAGTGTAGAAAGCATGTCAAACAGCGAGCCTTGGACTGGACATCACAACATATAGAAGTGACTTGAATAGAATATTATCCAAAGTATCTCTTTTACCGAAAATATAAGTGGGGTATTTGTAAATATATACAGTGACTTTACCAAATCTTTTTGCTGGATACTTACAACATGATTCTTATGATGAATAGAGCAATAAGAATTAAAAAAATTACGAAATAATTTAATAGCTTCTTAAAACTTCCGACGACAGAATAATATCGCAGGATAATAAATCATTATTTATTACGTATTCTGTGATAATAATGTACGATTGAAAAAATCATCGGCTTCAGAGATGGCTTGGAAATGAATGCTGTTATTTTGTATGTAAAATTATATGGAGATTGTCATCGATCGTCATTTCCACGCCAAATGGATGCCAATTTTTCGATCATACGGTATTAATTGTTTGACATTATTATTTAAGAAAAAAGTAGTAATTTTGTGCCATCTACATACGGAGCGATCAACAATGATTGAAATAGATGGCTACTCTTTTGGTTGGCAAATTTAACAAATTCGTATATTTATCGGTTGTTTTTAAGTTACTTAACCTATTGCGTCCAATCTCTAAGCTTGTTTTGGACGTTGGGATGAAAATAAGCCATGATTATGTAAGTATTTCTTTTTCTTGTTGAACACTATAGTTATATTGAAAAATAGCAACATATGCCGATATCACGAATAATATCCAGTCATCTTGTACTCAAAAACACTTTTTTGGTGTAATTTTGGGGGTGCTGAATTCGAATCTGATGTTTACTAACATAATTTCATGATGGAACAAAATGGAGAAAAATGCAAAAAAGTCGAAAAAAAAACCTTTAAAAAAAGTTTTTTGTATATAACTTTAAAAATATTAATAATAATAATAGCTCCCGTATATAGCCTTTAACGCCTTGGGAGTAGCAAGGTACAGCTTGCTATACTAGAGCCGTTCGGTATACAAGGAAGGTAATGAATGTGGCTAGCACTACGCTTCAACCGCCTATTGTTACCTCAGGATTGTGAATCCCAAGTACTCATTTAAGGCTGAGTCGACCTAGGTACCCAAACTATTTTTATTTTAATAAAAATAATCGGCTGATGAAATGCCGGGTGTGGGAATCGAACCCACACCGTGAGATTTGTAGACGAGAGCCTGTACCTCTACGCCACCGGGCACCTTAAAAATATTAACTTTTCGTAAATAATCTTTCTATTCAAAATTAAAGTAAATATAATTTCCTATAATTTTTGTTAATTAGTTTTTTTTCTCTGAAGAACTGTTTTGGCTCAACAGCCAGTTGAAAATTAGCGTTTTTGGTTGTCTCCGCCTAAAGGTACGCGTACACTGACCAGAGCCGCACGCGCCGCATTGACCGAAGACAAATATTGTTATTGTTTGTGTTACTTTCAATGAAGGTGCGCAAACTAATCAGAGCCGCATCGCTTCATTTAATCTATGTTATTTTCGGTCGATGCGGCGCTTGCAGCTCTGGTCAGTGTGCGCGTACCTTAATACCTACTTTTTTTACTCCAATACTGTTAATTTATTATTAAAAACCCTAGTATGTTTTTTTTTTAGTTTTAAGTGTCATATAGACTGTGATGTCAACGATTATACAGGGTGAGTCTTAAATAAGTGCAAATATTTTCAGGGGTGGTATATTTCGACCCCAGGAACACGTCTATGAGGTTTTTTTTCGCAAAAAAAATGTTGAAAATCGTGCATTTTCTTTTAAATTTCCCTGTATATTTTTCGAAAACTTTCTAGAACTGCTTGTTCACCGCAAATTTTCCCACGGTATAATTCTTAATATCTGATATTACCATAGTTACAGCTTTACTCGATGGTTAGTGCATTAAAAGGGATGCAAATACAGAAAAAAAGCCGGTGGCTCTCAAAATTTTTCCAAAAAAATATATTTTTTTTAAATTTTCTAACTTAAATAACTTGGTTATTTTGGATTTATTTGAAAAAATGGTAAAGAGAAAATATGTTTCTTTTATCGAGATATACCAGTCCTGAAAATATTTGTACTTATTTATGACTCACCCTGTATATTTCCTTAATTATTAAGTAAATATTATGATTATTTTTAATATTACCTCCCATAATTAAAAAATCAAATTTATATTATATACAAGGTGTTTGAAATGTTGTTCCTCATGTAAAAATAAGATTTATTTTTCATATCAACATAGGTCCGATTCTGCTTTGTTTCGTAGCTACAGGGTGTTAAAATCTTAATAATCTTTAGATTTATTATAATTTTCTTCCAAGTACTTTTAGTTAAGTTAGGTTAGGTTAGGTTGCTGGGGTTTGGGATCATGTTTGATCCCTCACTCGGAGGCCTTGGGCTCATTGTGATACCCCTGTTATTGTTGTACCAAACCTTCCTCTCATTCTTTTTTTGCGTTAAAGCACTTCCAGCTCTTTGCAAAGTTCCCGATGTCGCTGATGTCGGCTTCCGCTGCTTCCTTTAGTCCCTCCAAAAAACCTTGTCCTAGAGTTTTAAAGCGTCGGTATTCCAGTGCCGGACATTGGCACAGCAGGTGCTCTATGGTTTCTTCTTCCTCTCCGCATTCTCTGCAGTAGTCGTCGTTGGAAACTTTCCATCTCACGAGGTGAGACTTTTTTCCATCTTACAGCCCCGTGGGACAGTTTCCAGTGACGACACCTACAATTATGCGTATTAGGTCCTTTTTGTGCTCTAGTAGTTGTTTTGTCTTTTTGCTATCTACCACTGGCCATAGTCTTCGAGCTGTAGCGCAGTCTTCACGGTGTTGCCACGTCTCTTGCTGCTTGGCCTTGATGGCAGTTCCTATAGCTTCCTTCAGTGTGTTGATTATCACAGGTGGTGGGTCATCTGCCACGGCCTCTCTCCTGGTCCCGTCTTTGGCGAGTCTGTCTGCTTCCTGATTGCCCACCACATTGCTGTGGCCTGGCACCCAGCACAGAGTAGCCCCGCCCTGACGCAGCCAGGACAGTGCTTCCCGGCATTCCATCACAGTTTTGGATATCACTGATTGCATGGTGATGCTTCTTAAAGCGGCTAAGCTGTCAGAGTATATCACTATATATATCCCCTATTGGTCTATCAGCACTTTCTTCTCGTATACAACTAGCCGCTTCCTTTATGGGGTAAACAAGGGGTAAACCTCTGCTTGTAGAACATTACAGCCATCCGATAGCCTTAAAGATCGTCGGATGTCTAGTTCCTCTGAGAAGATGCCTTTACCTGTGCCTCCTGAAGTTGCGGAAGTACTTTTAGTGATTCGAATGAAATCGAGGGTAAAAATTACTATAAGTGCTACATATTTTAATGCAAAAAAAGTGTCGATAAATCCACCAGGGACGTGCATATGGGTTATCACTGGAATATTAAAATACAACATGTGTAATAAATAACAAAATAAATCAGAACTACCCCAAAACTTTCCTCAAAAAAATACAATTTGACCAGACTAAAATATCAAAGTCAAAATTTTTTCAAGAAGGTAAAGAAAAGCCATAATGACTGCGTTGAACTGACATTTCCTAAAATTTTTCGATTGATAATTGCTCTAGCGACAGCACCAATCACTAACCCTTGAAATGCTCTATCAGAGTATTGCCAACTATTTCAATCATTGTTGATCGCTCCATATATTTTATTTTGATACTGCACAATTATTTTTGGATTATATTTAGGCGGTTTTTTTCCTGATAAAATTATATAATTTGTTTCTCTTTCATAAATTACTTGTTTTGGTTTACAATGAAAAGGGCCAGTTTTGTATAGATTACTTAAAGAAAAAATATTCTTATTCTCTTTTGAGAATCATTATTGTTGCGCATATTTCAAAGATACTAAACTGTACATAATTTGATTGACGTTTGAATAACTGCGATAACTTTGCTGACGAATTCAGTATTAATTATATAAGAGCATAAAAAGTAACCTTGTATTTAATTAATACAACTTTAAAAGGTTAGGTTGTAAATAAAATTGATAGTGTTTACAGTGGAAATAGTGAAAATAGTTGAAATACTGAAATTGTTACACGAATTTCTTTACATGATGGATTAAGAATCTCATTTTTTGTATTTTAGAATTTGGTTATTGATTATAATAATTTTTTATTTTTGTATATATGTATATAATATTTTTTTTCTTTTAACCATTTTGGTTGAAAGTATTAAACGACTCTCTCTATATTCATTATGCTTTTTTGTTTTTTAGACTTATTTAAGTTTACTAGAGCGTTTTATATTCGACATTTTTTCCGTATTTCTAAATATTTACAATGTTTAAACTAATAAGTGGAAATTTTTTTTATGTTAATGAGAAAATTAATGAGAATTTTTCCGCTGTACTATTAGAATCTCTGTACAGATATTTTGTAAACCTAAGATTAATTTTATAAATATTCTGAAAAACATTTATTTACGTATTTTGTTCCGTTTTAGTAGTCAATAAATATTTTTGTATTAACGTTATTGTTTTATTTTTTAATCGTGTCTAAAATATACACATACCACTAATTAACAATGTTTTACATCATAACAAGTATTTTTTTAACATAACAATAAGGTTAATAAGTTGGAATAAGTATAATTTAATTAGTACACACTATTTATATATGACTGTATAATGTTTTACCGTTGATTGAACATATAAGAAGATGCGAGGCCTTTTGGGCGAATTCGTATCACAAAACCTCAAAACGTCAAGTAAGTCGGAAGGGCGGCCGTTTAGATAACTGCCGTCAGTGTTTCAGACGGTCTTCCGTTTTAACTGGCAGGCAAAACGTAAGGTAAAACTTAATGTGTAGCCGGAGCTTTAGAGGTATTGTTTTTAAATAATACATTGTCAAACTTTAGCTGATCATTTTCTATCCGATTCTTAGTAATAAACATTTTAGGATAATGTAATACAATAATAAAATAAAGTGTCTATTTATATCCAATAAAATTGTCATTTGAAAAAAAATTACGGGCAAGCTGTTTTTTTCAGAGTTTGTCAGCGACTGTTTTCTGAGTGTAAAATAAACAAAATCGGAAATTTTACCCTTGCGGTTTTTGAGCAATAGGGGTGGTTTTTTTAAAACTACTACAACAAAATAATTAGACGCAAATTGAACATAAGAACATTCTCTATAAGTTCGCCTAATGAATTTTTTTTATAAGTTTATTATTTCCGGACTTAGCGGCCGTTTCATCAAAGGTTTCATGAGCCCTTTGGGGTGGTTTTCAAAAAGTTTGTTTTACAGCAAATTGACCCGTATGAAAGTTGTTCATAATAAATGGACAAGCAACTTTTCCTCGTGATTTTTTTTGTAGCTTCATTATTTTTGGAGATAGCGTCCAGTTCATGAATAAATTGGGGTAGTTCATATTAAAATTTCTTTTTTGGACTTATTAAACCTAAGTAATAGGTATTACTTTATGGCAATTTATTTGAATGCAACAAAAAGAGTATTTTTACATTTTTGCTTGTCACTCTTTAAGACTTTTAACTATTTTCCCTTTCAAATCCTCTTAAACGGCATGATAATACTTGTTGCTTAAAGTATATTGCATATAAATTAATTGCCACTGGCTGCCGCGAATTGCCGCCGGATCTTATACCGGGTGGTTAAAGATTGACTTTTTGTCTTAAAACAAAAGTAACTTATTTTTTCTCTTTGTGTCAACTTATTTCGTGGACACACTGTATATCAACTGACAATAAAATTGTATTTATAAAATTAAACAACTGTCTCTTTTATTTTTTCAACATCTAAAATAAATTTGACCTCTTCAACATGAAAAAACATGTACCTACATATGTGCAAATATAATCTGTATAGTACCTTTCCGAATAGTTAGAACTTAAAATACAAATC